AGAGCTTATTCACTTTACAAGAAGCTCAGACCTAACTCATCCAGGAGCAATAGTCATAGGCAATTATGTAATCGAACCAAGACGAGAAGTAAAGCTCTTAGGAGTCGTCTTCGATCAGCAGCTCCGGTAGAGAGCCCACGTCCAGAGAGTAGTCACACGAGCAACCAAGACCTGCCTAGCTATCAGCAGACTAAGGCACCTTCGACCGAAACAAATGCGCCAGCTCTATCAAGCATGCGTTGTTCCCCAATTAGACTACGCCTCAACGGTCTAGCACTCCCCAAAGAGATGTAAATAGCAAATAGGAGTACTCTCTAGGGTTTAAAGGATGGCAACAACCAAGGCCATCTCAGCCTTCTAAACCGTTTCTACCCAAACACTAGACTACGAGAACTTTCTTCTACTAACAAAGCTGCGTCTCCAGGTACGAGCGGAGAGGGTTATCTCTAACCTTAGAACGCTTCCAGCTTCGCACCCATGTAGAGCTCTCGTCAACAAAGCATCCCTAAAGCTTAACCTAGCAGCTAGTTTCCTTAGCCCCCTTAACGTAACTCTCAAGCTATAAAACCCAAACTAGGTAGAAGACACTGAAATAATCGACACCTGCCCTTTCCCACCATGGAAGCCAACGCCGCTTAAGAGTATTCACCTGTAGTTACCTAAAACCGAAACTTTAGAGGCCTTTAAGAAAGAACTACTACTAAATCAGGCTACCCGAATCTTTATAGATATATCTAAAGTAAAAGGACAGCTCGGAGCAGCTGCAGTAATCCTCGGAAGAGAGCAAAGTATCCATAGACAAGCATAGAAAGGAATCGGCTCTAGCAAGTTCTATAGCATTATAGCGGCCGAGCTAATTGCTATTAACACCGGTATAGAACTAGCGGTAGAGTAAAACCTCGAAGACGATAACCTAAATCTAACGTCCTACATAATCTACAGCGATTCCAAGGCAGCCCTATAAGCACTAGCGAACCCACGTAAGCGGCGATTAGGCTAAGGAATAGTCCGATCCATTATAGAAACAGCCCGGTACATTAGAGACAACTATTAGATTAGTTTCTCTCTTCAATGGGTTCCCAGCCACAGTGGGATTAAAGGGAACGAAGAAGCAGATAAACTAGCTAAAGCTGCGACTACACGCCTTAGAGAATACAGCTTTAAGCCACTGATATTACTTCAGTTCCAAGCAGTTAAGGACGCAATATATGCAACCTAGGCAGCCGAATAGGAGAAATCGGATAAAGGACAACACCTTCGAAGCATTAATACAGCACCGCCAGGCCCTCATACCCGGCACCTATACGATAAGCTCTTACGGAGCTAGGCTAGCCTCCTTACCCAGCTGCGAACCGGCTACTGCTAGCTCAACCAACACCGCACACGAATAGGTCGGATCAACAACGAACAATACGAATACGGAGAAGTCGAATCAGTTTCCCACGTTCTCCTTAACTACTCTCTGCTTTAGGAAAGCCGACAGAAGATGCTCTAAGATAGTAGACTAGAAAAGAACAGCCTATCAGCCTTACTCGGCGGAAAGCCACTAAGTAATGCCGCAGCTACCCAGAGTAAAGACAACAATTAGAGAATAACAGCATCACAGCTTCAGGCTATGCTCAACTTTGCACAAGACTCACAACGGTTTAAGAATAGAGACAATCCTACAGCATAGAACCTCTACACCACTATCCCCTCCTACCCTACTATCCGCTCCCGTTACCTTCCTTTTTCCTCCCAGATTAACAAATCACATGTAAACTAGTAGCAAAACTCTTAAATAGTCGTAGCCTACATATCGCTTAGGGCGATAGGTCAGGGTAAATAAATACAACTCAACTCAACTTAATCAACTCAACTCATTAATTAATTCGTTTTACGTCTATATATAGTTAGAAACTATAATAGACGGTCCGTTTAGAACTAGCTAGGGGGTTTAGATATAAGATAAAAGCAAGGTAGTACGAGAGATAGTTAGATCTAGGCCGAGGTAATAAAAAAAAAAAGAAGGAAAGTATTATAGACCACAAAGGAAACCAACCCGCAGGGTCAGAAAGACCTTATAGGAGAAAGGCCCACACGGGCCTAGAGACTATAAGGGCTTAGTAACTATAAGGGCCCGCGTCCCGTAAGGCACTAGCAGACACGTACTAGGCAAGGCCGTAAGGGAACTAAGTCCACAGCCCCAAGAAGCCCACACGGGAGTACGCCCCGTAGGGACCTAGTCGACTAAAAGGCGACGACTCCAGAAAGCCCGCAGGGGATTAATACCCACAAGGATAGAAGGCAGCAAGCCGACAACCAACCTACAGAACGATCAAGGGCAAGGAACTTATCGCGCCCGCTTTACGAGATAAAAGGTACCTATTAGGTAGCAGAAAAGCGGTCGTCAGAAAAGTAGCATAGAGGTCACATAACGGACCCATACTAGATTAACCCCCTTAGATTAATCTAACCTTCGGATTAATCTAGTAAACAGTTTAATCCAACATCCCCTTTAATCCAAGTTGCAACCTATATTTAGACCACGCTCTCTAGCAGTAGATAGGACCTTCGTAGTCAACTCAAAGTATCAATCTCTACTATAAGGTTAATAGTAACACGCCTACACCCGATCCTTCACGTAACTTATCTCTTAAACCTCCTACACTTCTTATCCTTCAAGGTAAACCCCACACCTCTCCGTCCGGCCAGGTATACTCCAAGTAAATACGCTAAGAATCCCACCCAAAACTACTATCTCCTCCCCTAAAACGCCCTCTTTAGGTCCCCCGATAGCACCAGATCTATTAAACCCGTCGCTAGCGGAGGCCACGACCCTAAACACCCCGCTAACCTCTATTCTTAGGAGCCCGACAACCCCAGAGACGAACACCGCAGCCAATAGTAATATCAGACGGCACACCGCTAAGACAAAGCAAATCAAGACTACCCCCCTCCCACTCGCTTAGGACCTTAATTAAGACAACGGGCCCCTATCCTCATTACTTCGAACCCTCATCCAGGAAGAGAAGCTTAAGATAAAAGTAAGGGACGAAGTCCTCAAAGCTTTCGCTAAAACCCTAGACCAGCAACTAGCCCGTTTCCCTACCGGCTACCAAGCAGAACTTACCCAGGCGCTAACTAAGGACCTTCTTAACACCATTAAGCGACACCTAATAGGCAATATAGAGGAAACCCCTAAACCAACATGCTAACCCCGGAGCTATACGGAAGCCGTTACGCAGGAAGCTCCTAAGGAAACGCCACGCCCTAAATATAAGGCGACAGCGTATAAGACCCTAAAGGCACAGGACTTAAAAGAAAAAGATAATAGGCTTTTTATTAGACTTCCTCCGGACCACCCAGCGCGCAACCACCAACCCTTCGCAATTAAAGCAGCTATTATCACGCAACTAGACCTCGCAAAAGATACTATACGAGAAGTCTAATACGTTAAATCAGGGATTACAATCGTCCTAAGCGGTAAAGCTACCACGTCAGTAATCCGGGGCAAAGCTAACAATATAGCCACCCTCATTAGCGGGAAAGCCGAAATCGCACAGACCTAGTATACCTACGTAGTCGACCAAACCCTAAAGTAGATAGTCGGCCTTAACGGCGAACGATATAAGGTTAACCTACAATTACTAACCGAGGAGATCTCCTCCTAGACTAGCTCTACCCCTATACGAGCCACATAGTCGCGACGGTCTACTGAAGATACACTAGAAGGAATACTAGTAGTCTCCTTTACTAAGACAACGCTACCTTTTAGGCTATTCGGCACGAGCGCTAGGGCTCGCCAAATCAAACGCAAAGCCAGCATTCTCTAATATACTAAATGCCACGGCTACCACGACGCACGGGGCTGTTAAAGATCTAGTAGGTACATTAGATATAGATCAACCGATCACGCTGCTTGCGAGTCGGACCCTAAGTACTATAACTACGCTAGTCCTCATACTACAGACGAAAGAACGTGCCCAGCTCGGCCAACAGTTAAGAACGGAGTCATTACTAGGCTTTCTAAGGCTGCGCTCAGGATAGTAAGGAAAGCTAGAGCTACAGCCAGCCGCCTTACTAACCCTACGCAAGCCGGTAAGGGATAAGGTCCGGAACTAGAAATCGCATCAGACGAGACTAAACAGAATACGCCTTCTCGCCAATAAAACCGAGACCAAATAGGAATACTGGCCGTAACGAAATACGCCTTTTCCAAGCGAATATAGCACACGGACAAGCACACTATAAAATAGCCCTAAATCTCGCCTTCGAAGAAGGGGCGGATATAATTCTCATTTAAGAACTCTAGATATATAGCCTCCCAGAGCAGAGGAGAACAAAGACTCACCCATCCTACTATATCTTTTACCCAAATAATAACTAGACAAAACGACCTAGGGTACTTACCTATATATATAAAGGCCGGAACCTGTAACTATCACAGCTACGACCGGCGGACACGGCAGATATATACTAGGTAACAATACAAGCCCGGAATATAATTACTATCATAAACGTCTATAGACCACTATATAAAGTAGTAGAAGGAGGAACCCTCTAAATACTCCTTCGCTACCAACCCCCAAAGAACACCATTATCGCAGGGGACCTCAACACACACCATAACCTCTAGGAAACTAGCGTAAGAGAGTCTTACGGAGTAAAAGAGCTTACACAATAGCTCGAGCAACATCGAATAGCTCTTAAATCCCCACCCAATAAAGCAACACACGCGAGAGGCTA